GGGTCCAGAGGAGGGCCACCCACGTGATCAGGAGGCATCAGGGCAGGCCCTATGAGGAGAGGCTATGGGACCTGAACCTGTTCAGCCTCCACAAGAGAAGGCTGAGGGGGGGATCTTGTGGCCTGTTACAAACTAGTCAGAGGGGATCAGCAGGCACTGGGGAAGTCCCTGTTCCCCCGAGCACTACCAGGAGTTACCAGGAATAATGGTCACAAGCTGGCAGAGGGTAGATTAGGCTAGACATCAGGAGGCACTATTTCACTGTCAGGGCGGCTAGGATCTGGAACCAACTTCCAAGAGAGGTGGTGCTGGCTCCTACCCTGGGGGTCTTTAAGAGGAGGCTGGATGAAGACCTTGCTGGGGTCGTTTGACCCCAGTACTCTTTCCTGCCATGGCAGTGGGTCGGACTTGATGATGCTCAGGTTCCTTCTGACCCTACTAACTATGAAATGAAAATATAGAAAGTTGCATGGTCTCCTTTCTCCTTAGCCTGTCTGTATGAAAATGTCAGTGACTTTACATATTCTTATCTTCTGTTTTTTTGCATAACAATATCTTATAGTGAACCTTGGAGGACTTTTACTACAAGCACTTCTAGAATATTGGCCTAGAACACACATCAATCCAATGGATGAAGAGGAAAATGAAATAAATCATGGTTAGTACTTTCCTGTACGCAGCTGGAATCTTTTCTTCCTCCTCCCCCGCAACCTCCCGCTCGGCATTCATAGCTGGTTTGGTATACATAAGGCATTTGCAACAATGTCTACATCTACGATAAGCTTTTAACATAACTTTGCATTGAAATATCTCATTTAGCAGTTGTTTAGCAAATAATTCTGTTCAAAATCTTTTGAACTGCTAAACAGGGAAACTGATTTGAGTTGATTTTCAATTTATAGAAATCCTATTCCTTGGGGGGAAAAATGCTAGTAAAAATCCATTTAATGGACGCACATCCTGTGAGCTCTAGATGGTATTGGGGAACAACAGTAATTCAGTTATGGATTTTTAGGTCGCTAGTCATGTAAGAAGAATGTCAAGGGAACAACTAATTTGCTTGTAGATACTGTTAGCAAAAATACAATTATTTGAAAGAGTTATATGGAATGGATATTGGAAGAAAAAAAAAGTCTGTATAAATCTTTGAAGCCATTTCAGGAGTAATCCTCAGCTGCAATAAAAACAAACAAAGTCATATTGCCAGGGTTGCTAATAGGACATGCGTGGGCAAAATATGCCCCACAGGCAGGATGTGGCCTGTAGAAAGATTTTATCTGGCCCACAACGTGTTCCTTGACTCTGCCTGGCCCAAGTGCAGTCTGGCCTGTGGTGTGTCCCGCTGCCCCTGGGCACACAGCAAGGCAGGGGCAGCTTGGCAGCTGCTCCAATTCCCAGCAGCCCTGATGGTGGTGGCTCCTTCTGGCTGCCACCATTGCTAGAACTGGCCCCACTGCCTGGACCCATCCACCTTGTGCCATCTGCGAGGGGAGGGACCCATGCAGGCAAGTTGCTTGGCCAGGCAGCCGAAATGGGGCTGTGGGCCAGTGGGGAGTGGTGTCTGAGAGCAAGATGGGCAGGCATGAGGTCAAGGTCCTTGCAGCACCCACTATGGACCTTTCTGCCCCAGCCATGAGTGGCAGTAGGCAGCCATGAAGATGGAGGGGCTAGAGCTGCTGCCCAACCCTGTTGCTCAGGTGCAAAGGCAGCAGCAGTGACCTAGGCAGAAGCTGCTGCTAGGCACTAGGAAAAGGGGACCTGGCAGCAGGTGCAGCCACCTCCCCCTCATTGCTGTGGCCATTCTTGCTGCAGTCCTCTGGAGCCCACACTGGTGCAGGCAGGAGCTGCAGGGCAGCCTCAGTGCAGGGTCCAGGTGGCTGCAGCAAGAAGGGCCCTGGCAGTGGTGAGGGAGAAGTGACTGTCCCTGCCTCCAGGTCCTGCTTTTTCCCAGCACCTAGCAGCAGCTTTTGCTTGGCCGCTACTGCCTCCGCACCCAGGTCGCTGAAGCCAGCAGTGGCATGAAGTTGGGCAGCAGCTCCAGCCCCTCCTCAGAGTAGAAGGGTGGACCAGAGGCCACACTGATGGCAGTGGGGGTCCCAGCTGAGCTACCCCTACTGAAGCTGCTACCTGCTGCTGACCTGGAGCAGCTGCTAATCCAAGGCCCCAGCCCCATGCCCACACCAGCTCCCCACCTGCCCACAGACCCATCCCACATAAAGAGTTTTGGTGAGCTGTTGCAAGGTGGGGTGGGGGAGATGTTGCTATGGCCTGCAGCAGCTCCATAAAACTTCCTGTGTGGCCTGTGGGCCTAAATAATTGCTCACCCCTATATTAGAAGCATATTGCATAAAAATGGATAGGCAAGATGGACTGACTTTGTAGGAAGTTTAAAACCATGTAATTCAAACTCGGTGAATGATTGGGACAAGTACACAAAGTGACCTATTCAAGTCCACGTCAAGCCAGAATTGGTCAAGAGCTGCTAGTGGCTAAGTGGTTTTTGTAAAAAAAAAGAGTTGGTTTAAGTTCAGTTTCTCTAGTATCTGCCTTACAAAACTCTTAGCATGCTAAACTTTTAGCATTTTTATCAGGAATAACAAAGATCATGTTTGTTTTAATACTTGCTCACTTTGTGTGATTTCAAAACAGGGTTATGGCACTTGGGCAGACTGTTTTGGGGAAGCTTGCTTTATTTCCCTTTATTATAGCTGTTCTCTGTATTAATGGCTTAAGTCTTTGGATAGGAAATGTGAGGAATGACAACTACCAGACTCTCAGAACTTTAGGTCCCTGATGCTGTGCTTCTCACTCTTGGGCATAGTTCCTTGTCAGGAAGACTGCCTGGGTGAATGAGGATTGTAGGGGTTGGACTCTAAATTTTTCTTGAAAAGGGTTGAAAACTTTTTTTGAAGCAAAAACTGAAGAGTATTTAGGGAGAAAAAAAATGTCTCCAAAGGAGTTGTTGAATTAGTGCTGTTGTTAAGAGAGGTCATCAAGACCATAGTAGGCAGGCTGGATACCGTTCTTAATATTTTTGTAAAAAGTACTTTAATGCTATAATCTCAGGGGGAAAAAACGTAAATGAGAATAAGTACTTTAGTGTTTTCTGGAGTCACCACACTGGAAGTTGTGTGTGACGACACTGGTCTGGAAGCTGCAAACAGGAAGGGTACAAGTCTGGCATCACATTTTACATAACTGAGAAATGGAGGGTTATGTATTTGTGTCTGTGATCTTATTTCGCCTTGCTGGAGTCCCTGGAAAACTGTTAGTTCAAAAGATGAGTCCTCCTCACTGCTTTTTCTCAGTCTTAAGGCTGAGATGAAGCTGTTCTAATGTAGATGCATTTAATGTTTGTTTGGGGGTTTTCTGTTTTTGTTTTTTTTTGCTTTTGTTTTTTTCCAGGACTCCAGTAAGGTGGAATAGGATTTGGCCAAAGGTCTTTCCATACACACAATACTGTACAAATGACATATAACAGTTCCTGCAAACAGCACTAGCGAATAAACTCAGAGTGTGTGTGAAATGCTTCCTTTTCTGAGTTAAGTCTTTAAGATTTTCAGTTACCAATTCAGTGCTGTGAGCATTCAGTTTTTTCATTTTAAATGTTGAAGCATCATCATAACCTTGTCTTATTTTCAGTAACTTTATAAGCAGAACTTTGCAGTGCCTCCAAAAATCCAGTTTATTGTTCTCATCCTCGGTTGTTTACCTGAATTACTAACGAAATCTCTAAATCCATTTAGAAATCCTTTGTTCTAATTTCCAGAGTGCTCTAATTTCTTTTTGAGTATGCAGTAGCCTGCTCTATACCTGTCTGGTCACAATACTTGACTTTTGAACTCTGCTCCTCCATTTACTATGCCTTTCAAAAGTTTGGTGAATTTCTGCATTCAACGTGATGTTCAATTCAATAACTGGTTGATTTTTATAGAAGCCACAAAGCAAACCTGGACTCTTTCGCTTGGAAGGCATTGCACCTTGACACTTGTGCATACTTGTTTGTCAGTGAATTTTACCACGCATTTCAAAATGCCTTGCACGTGAATCATTTTGAATGTTGTGGTTTCCAGCAAAAGAATAACCGATGGTGGCACTCCTATAATCCAGCACTCTGCATTTTACATGTCACTGGGATCCTTTTTTCCCTGCAGTTCACAAACATCAACCTGGTCAATAATGAAGAGAATTTTATAATGCAGTGAATTTAAGATAAGACCGAACTGTGTCAGTGCCACTTGCTATTTGAGTAGTAAAATAAGGTGAGCATGCAAAGAATGGGCTTAGGCATAGCATTGTATTTTCATATGAAAAGCCTTGACCTTCAAATAATGGCTATTATGGAATGACGCTTTTACTTGGTCATTCCAAAGTGTGGATCTTTTCAGTTATTTATCAAACACTTATTTATCTGTGTTTCGCAAAAATAGGAGGAAAACTCATAAGGCAGTGTTCAGCTCGTGGCCTCATTCTGTTTATACATCAGACACTAAGATCTGAAAGATGAATAAGAGTTTTTAATTTTTTTCTTTTCCTCTTGACACATTTGCTAAGAACTGGGATTTCTAGCTTTTAAGAAATCATCGTTTATCCATTTCTTGTTTTGTGCATATGCCAAGTGTTTTGGCTAAGGTTTTTGTGGACTTTGCTTGAAATTTACCAGCTGCTGTAGGAAGAGACCCAACTTGCTTTATTCTGCACCTGGTTTTAAAACTAGGTGTATAATCTTTGTTGTGTGTGTTGTTTCTTTAGTGAATGGCGAGCAAGAGAATAGAGTACAGAAGGGAAACGGATACTTTCAGGTGCCACCACACACGCCAGTTATTTTTGGTGAAGCTGGAGGACGCACTTTGTTCAGGTACCAAAGTTTAAGAAGCTGTAGTATGGCTAAACAATCCACTTTGTGGTTTGAGTTGATTTGTAGCAGAGGTCTTAGGAAGACACTGCATTATGTATGGCTCAGAATGCACCTCTGACCCATCACCCTTCCTGTAAACCAGTTAATAGCAACCTGAAGACTCTTTCATTCTACAGCTGTGTAATTCTTCCCCTTTAAGTTCCTCTAGCAGTACTTAATTATGGGCAAATATTACAGGCTATAAGACTGCAATACTGAGCTGCAGGCATTAGCTTCTTTTTTTTCCCCCCATGCTTGCTGGTCTGCGTAATTGCTTAACACTCTCAGAAGCATATTAGCTGGTCTGTCAGAACATTCTTATCCTTGGCAGATAGGAAGCACAGAGGCAGTCCTGTGACCTTCCCTGAGCAACCCTCATCTGGATGGTAATCAGTACCTGCACATATTTCCTGTTCTACGTTGATTTCATCAGTACAAGTAGATGCAACCAGTGACATTTAACAGTGGAAAACAGATTCCCAGCATTGAGATGCTATAAAACATTCCTGTCCATGTAATATCCTGTTCCCCTGAGCGCCGCAAAGAGTGACCAGGAACAATGGTCACAAGCTGGCGGAGGGAAGATTTAAGTTAGACATTAGGAGGCGCTACTTCACGGTCAGGGTGACTAGAGTCTGGAACCAGCTTCCAAGTGAGGTGGTGCAGGCTCCCACCCTGGGGGTTTTTAAGAGGAGGTTGGATGACCACCTTACTGGGGTCATTTGACCCCAGTGCTCTTCCTGCCATGGCAGGGGGTCGGACTAGATGATCTGCTCAGGTCCCTTCCGACCCTAGAAACTATGAAACTATATCAGCATTGATAAAAGGAAAATTAATGTGATTGGCAGTCAGCTTTTTTGGCTGATGTGGCCGATTTAATGTCACTGATAAAAGCTGTGTGCACTCACACAGCTGCAGCATGCGTGTAGCCAGCGTGACAGTTTGGAGAGCAATGTCTGGCTGGTAAGTCTGGTTGGGGGGAGCCAGATCGAAAGCCCCCATAGTGAGAAAGGGAGTGGGGTTGGGGAAGGGGGAGGTGCTGACCAGCCAGGGCGGGGCATGGGGCAGAGCTGCGAGCGGATCATCCAGGGGGCACAGGGAGGGATGGGGGTATCCCCCTGTATGAGCCGCTCACAGCTCCATCCAGTATCCCACCCTGCCCCGGCAGGGCAGCACCTGCCCCAACCCTCCCTTGCCGTGAAGGCCTTGATCTGCTGCTGCCCTCCCCACACCCTATTCCCCCCTCAGCAGACTTACCAGCCGGTCGCTGCTCTCCAGGCTTCTGGCTGCGTTATCAGCAATCAGATCAGTATCGGCCCAAAAAAATGCTTATCAGTGCACCCCTACTGGTAACCAACCTACTGGCTTTTAAATGACTGATTTCTCAATACCCTGACCCACAACTATTATAGCACATCTGAAGTCTGGGAGCACTGTGACATTCAGTCCCAATGTCACTTAAGTAAATTTGGTTACTTAATGTGAGCTTCACCACTGTGGCTTTTAACATATTGGACTTGTAAGCAAGGCCTGGACTTTTTGTTCTAATCTGTTTCCTGCCTGCATGTAAAACAGCTGGTCTGTTTCCCCAGCCCTGCAGGACACTAATGCCAAGTCTTTTGTCCAGGGCATACTTTTATTCTTAGGCAAAACAGACAGTTCCTCTGTCCATCCTAAGCCTCTGCTGCCTAAGATTCCTTCGTTTCAGTCCCCCTGTTTGACTTTAGTGGAGGGGACAGCTTACTTCTCATCTCTTTTTATAGGAAATGTGAAAACTTCCAAAGTGGGTCTTACCAGCAGGCAGGCTGCCCTGTTAGAGTGCTTTGTAACTATGTACTGTACAGTGATTTTTTCCCCTCCCCCACCAATAATTTAATTGCATCATTCATGAAACTCATTTCTTTGTCTTAGGTTATTATGTCGGGATTCAGGTGGTGAAACTGAATCTATGCTCCTTAATGAAACCGTGCCACAATGGGTAATTGACATCACTGTGGATGTAAGTATCGCTGTATATAGCACTCTTCTTTGATTGGGGATCTAGAAAGGAGTTTAACCAAACTCTCAAATCACGTGTTTAATATTTCCCCATAACTAGGCTAAAAGGGATGTTTGGGTTATTAACCTGAAATGCTGTCCTCATGCACATTACAGATCTCTGATACCTACTTTCCAGAAAGTACTGGACTTGTGATAATTCTGTAAACCAGCAGGCATTTTGTGAGCTAAACAGCTTTTTGAAAATATTTTGGTCTTATATACCATCTGATAAAATTCCAGAAAAATAAGTTATACTCGCAGTAATGCCATCTATGTTCTCAGCTCACCTGAGGCCCCTCCAGAATAAACCAACGTTAGTATACATTATAATGTCCATTCATTTTTGTTAGCAAGCAACACTCCTTATGAATGATGGAGGAAAGTACTAGAATCCAGCTGAAAAAAGAAACATTCTCAAGCTAGTAATATGCTGAATGCCCATCTTAGTCTGACTGGAGATTTGATTCTGTTCCTTAAAAAAAAAAAAAAGGTGACCAATTAAGTGACTGGTACCTAGGACTGATCCCAGGTATCCAGGCCCTCATTCTTAAAACTGTCAATTTTAAAAGAAACAACATTTGGACTTTTGATATGTAACCTGTCCCATTTTAAAGAACAGAAAATAGAGAGTGGGGAGAGAACTCTGCTGCACCTTTTGGCACCACCATGCTTTTACTGGTATGTGCAGCAATATATATACAAGGCTAGACAAATAAGGGTGTACATGACACACATCTGGAATCCGTCAGATCTTTAAACAGTTTAAAGAAAAGTTGTCAGTTGTGTTAAAGAGATTTCTCTTTATTTGGTTTGATAACCTATTAAATGAGAGCTGATACTTTCCTGTTAGAAATAGCACTAATGAGGATCATATCAGTTCACTAAATATAATACCTTATTCTCATTTCATTTTAGAAAAATATGCCTAAATTCAATAAGATCCCTTTCTACCTCCAACCTCATTCATCTTCAGGGGCAAAGACGTTGAAAAAGTAGGTATATAATTTTACTCTATTTCAGAGGTACTGAAAGTTCAGCTGAAGGGCTCATAAAAAAAAAAAAAAAAAAAAAAAAAAA